GGATACACAACAGACTCAGAATGGCAGATGTCCTAAACAGCACTCTGGCCTCAGAATCAGCCCTTAAGGCATTCGGGTCTGGCTGAAGAGCCCATGAGAGTATTTTAGGCATGGAAAGCCTAAAAAAAGAAAAACCCTAAATGAAAGATCTCTGTGAGTGAGATCCCAGTGGAAAGAATGGGCTATCAAAGAAGGAGGTACCTTTCTCTGAAGGGAGGAGAGAACTTCCACTTTGACTATGACCGATCGAAGTCGGTGAACTCAAAAGGCTTCCATAGCCTTGGCAACTCATGACTAGAGCCTAGGGAGATTACTGACATCATAAACAAGAGTGTCAATTCGTTAAGTCAACAATAGGAGTCACTGTGCACTTACTCCTCATCTAGGATCTCTGTCCTTAATGTGTTTTTCAATGTGAATTAATGCTATCACTAGTACTAAAACAGTATTTTACACTTTATGTTCTGTGTGGGTGCAAAATGATGAAATCTTTACTTAATATATACTAAACAGATCTTCTGTATATAAAGATAATTGAAAATGAATCTTTGTGTGAATGGAATGGAGAGGGAGCAGCAGATGGGAGGGTTGCAGGTGGGAGGGAAGTTATGGGGGGGAAAAGCCATTATAATCCATAAACTGTACTTTGGAAATTTATATTTACTAAATAAAAGTTAAAAAAAAACTAGTAGGATAAAAGAAATAATTAAAATTAGAGAAGAAATCATTGATTGAATCAAAAATACAAAAGATCAGCAAGACGAAGAGATGGTTTTTTGAAAAAATAAGTAAATTGACTCACCACTGACCCAACTAATCAATAAAAGGAGAGAGAAGAAGAGAATCAATAATATTAGAGATGAAAAAGGTAATGTAACACCAGGCACCACAGAAATAAAAAGAATCATCAGAAATTACTACAGAGTTGTATGCCAACAAACTGGGAAACCTAGAAGAAATGGATAGATTCCTGGACACTTACAACCTACATACACTGAGCCATGAAGACATAGAAAACCTAAGCAGACACATAACCAAGACAGAAACTGAATCAGTAATACTAAATACACTCCCAACAAAGCAAAGCCTAGGACCAGATGGATTCACTGCTGATCTGTCAGATATTTAAAGAAGAAGAACTAACTCCAATTCTACTCAAGTTATTCAAAGCAATTGAAAGAGAGGGAATCCTCCCAAATTCTTTCTATGAAGCCAGAATCACCTTAATTCCTAAACCTGAAAAAGATGCAACAGAGAAAGAGAATTACAGACCAGTTTCCCTGATGAACATAGATGCAAAAACCCTCAACAAAATTCTAACCAATGCAACAACACATCAGAAATATCATCCACCCAGACCAAGTGGGATTTATCCCTGGTATGCAGGGATGGTTCAATTAATGTGATACATCACATTAACAAACTGCTGAACAAAAACCATATGATTATCTCAATAGAAGCAGAGAAAACATTTGATAAAATACAACTCCCTTTCATGATGAAAATGCTAAACAAATTGGGTATAGCAGGAACATTCCCCAACACAGTCAAGGCAATTTATGACAAACCGACAGCCAGCATCACATTGAATGGGGAAAAGTTGTAAGCATTCCCACTGAGATCTGGTACCAGACAGGGATGCCCACTCTCACCATTGCTATTCAATATAGTCCTGGAAGTTGTAGCCTGAGCCATTAGGCAAGAAATCAAAGGGATACAATGGGAAATGAGGAAGTAAAACTATCCCTATTTGCAGATGACATGATTCTATATATAGGGGATCCAAAGAACTCCACTAAGAGACTATTGGAACTCAGAATTTGGTAAAGTAGCAGGATATAAAGTCAATACACAAAAATCAACAGCCTTTGTATACACAGACAATGCCACAGCTAATAAAGAACTTCTAAGATCAATCCCATTCAAAATAGCTACAAAAAATCAAATATCTTAGAATAATTTAACCAAGAATATCAAAGATCTCAATGATGAAAATTACAATACATTGAAGAAAGAAATAGAAGAAGATACCAAAAAAAAAAAGGAAAAATCTTCCATGTTCATGGATTGGAAGAATCAAAATTTCCATTCTTCTGAAAGCAATTTATAGATCCAATGTGATACCAATCAAAATTCTTTTCAGATCTAGAAAAAAGATGCTGAAATTCATATGGAGGCACAGGAGACCTTGAATAGCTAAAGCAATCTTATATAACAAAAACAAGGAGGCATCACAATCCTAGATTTCAAGACATACTACAAGGCAGTTATAATCAAAACAGCATGGTACTGGTACAAAAACAGATGAATAGATCAATGGATCAGAATAGAAACACCAGAAATCAATCCAAACATCTACAACCAACATATATTTGATCAAGTAGCTAAAACCAATTCCTGGAGCAAGGTCAATCTCCTTAACAAATGCTGCTGGGAAAACTGTATTTCTACATGCAGAAAAATGAAGCAAGATCCCTACCTTACACAAAAATCCATTCAACAAGGATTAAAGATCTAAGTCTATGACCCAACTTCATCAAATTATTAAAAAACATTGAAGAAACTCTGCAAGATATTGGCACAGGCAAAGACTTATTGGAAATGACACCAGAGGCACAGGCAGTCAAAGCCAAAATTAACAACTGGGATTATATCAAATTGAGAACTTTCTGTATGGTAAAAGAAACAGAAAAGTGAAGAGGCAACCAACAGAATGGGAGAAATTATTTGCAAATTATGCAACCAAGAAAGGATTAATAACCAGAATCTACAAAGAGATAAATAAACTCCACAAAAAAAAATAAAATAAAATAAAATAAACAACCCAGTTTAAAGATGGTCAGAGGACTCAAGCAGACATTTTTCAAAAGAGGAAATCCAAATGGCCAACAAACACATGAAAAGGTGTTTAGGATTACTGGTCATCAGGGAAATGCAAATCAAAACCACAGTGAGGTTTCACCTCACCCCAGTTAGAATGGCTTTCATGCATAAATCAACAAACAATAAATGCTGGCAAGGATGTGGGGGAAAAGGGACACTAACCCACTGTTGGTGGGAATGGAAACTGGCAAAGCCACTATGGAAGACAGTTTGGAGATACCTCAGAAATTTGAATATAGCCCTACCATATGATCCAGCCATCCCACTCCTGGGAATTTACACAAGGGAAATTAAATTGGCAAATAAAAAAGCTATCTGCACTCCATGTTTATTACAGCTCGATCCACAATAGCTAAGACTTGAAATCAACCTAAATGCCATCAACATAAGACTGGATAAAGAAATTATGGGATATGCACTCTATGGAATACTACACAGTAAAAAAGAAAGAAAGAAATCCGGTCATTTGGAGGAATCTGGAAAACATCATACTGAGTGAAATAAGCCCGTCCCGAAGGCACAAATATCCTATGTTCTCCCTGATCTGTGGCAACTAACTGAGCACCTAAAAGGAAACCTGCAGAAGTGAAACTGACACTATGAGAAGCAATGACTTGATAGCCCTTGTCCTGACTGTTGAGGAACAGCTTACTATTTTATACATTTTAGTATTTTCCTTTTCTACTTATTACCATTGTTTGAACTCTTTACTTAACACAGAATTATCCTCAGGTGTCTAAATCCAACTGAAGATTTATCCCTGTAAAAAATAAGAGTGGGAATAAGAGAGGGAGGAGATGTACAGTTTGTCACAAATTCCCACGGACTTACCCCTAAGGGTAAAGCTAAAAACTTGCCATGAGACTCCAAATCCCGTTTAAGTTGACAGATACTAATTCCATCATACTAGTTAAAGTGATCATTTTAAATGCATAACTGATCATAAAGATAGGAATAAGTGCCAAAAGGATCACATAAATAAGACCAAGTGTCTGCTAATAACAATAGACAGAATTAAAAAGGACAGAAGGATCCAATATGAGAAGCAAGGCAACACAGCAGACTCATAGAATGACAAATGCCCTAAAGAGCACTCTGGCCGCAGAATCAGCCCTTGAGGCATTCGGATCTCGCTAAAAAGCCCTTGAGAGCATTTCAGGCATGGAAAGCCAAGACACTGTGGCAAAAAATTATCTACATGAAGGATCTCTGTGAGTGAGACCCCAGTGGAAAGAAGGGACCATCAAAGAAGGAGGTACCTTTCTCTGAAGGGAGGAGAGAATTTACACTTTGCTTATGGCCCTGTCTAAATAATGTCAGAGTCTGTGGATTCAAAAGGCTTCCATAGCTCTGGCAACTCACGTCAAGAGCCTCGGGTGATCATTGATCTTAAATAAGAGTGTCAATTGTTAAATCAACAAGAGTCACTGTGCAGTTGTTCCCCATGTAGGACCTCTGTCCTTAATGAGTTATACTATGAGAATTAATGGTTAAACTTCTCTTCAAACAGTAATTTATACTTTGTGTGTCTGTGTGGATGCAAACTGTTAAAATACTTACTTTTAGTACAGAGTTGATCTTCTGTATATAAAGATAATTAAAAATGAATATTAATGAAGAATGGGGTGGGAAACGGAGTAGGAGGAGGGATGGGAGTGGAGGAGGGAGGGCGGTTATCAGGGTAAGAACCGCTATAATCCAAAAGCTATGCCTATGAAATTTATAGTTATTAAATAAAAGCTTTTGAAAATACGAAATATTAGCAACCTATATGAGAAAAAATTAAAATTCTTTATCTGAGAGAGTTACACAGAGAGAGGAGAGGCAGAGAGACAGAGGTCTTCCATCTGCTGGTTCACTCTCCAATTCACTGCAAAGCTGGAGCTGCGACAGTTCGAAGCCAGGAGCCAGAAGCTTCTTCCAGGTCTCCCACACGGGTGCAGGGGCCCAAGGACTTGGGCATTTTCCACTGCTTTCCCAGGCCATAGCAGAGATTGGATCAGAAGTGTAGCAGCCAGGATTCAAACTGGCATCCATATAGGATGCCCACACTGCAGGCAGCAACCTTACCAACTAGGCAACAGTGCTGGCCCTCCAAAAATTTTATGAAAGAATCAAAGATATAATTAAATGGCGAGACATTCCATGGTCATGGATGGGGACACATTATTGCCCATATGTCAGTTCTTCCTAACCTGATGTAGTTTTGAAGACATCTCATTCAATGCTGCATACAAAGAATAGAATCTCACTCTGTCCTAAAAAGCAATGATACCTCCACCCATGAAGATCTAGAGGACACTTAAATTCAGGTGAGGAAGGGAAAGAAGCCAGTCTACAAAGTCTACAGACTGCATGATTTCAATTCTAGAACATTCTGGAGAAGGTGAAAGTGTGTGAGAACTGGCTCCAGGTCTGTGTGAGGAATTAATCAGGACCCAGGGGAGATTTTAGCAGTGGAATGGTTCTCTGTGGTCCTACAGTGATGGACACTGGCCATGCAGCATTTGTCAAACCACAGAAGGGATGACCCCAAGAGGAAACCCTAGGTAAACCAAGGACATTGGTGATGATTACATGTCAATCTAGACTCATGACTGTCACAGATGTGCCACTGTCATGCAGGGTGTTGATAGTGGAGGGTTGAGTGGGACATGTGTGGGGCAGGAATACAGGGAAATTCTCTACTCTTTGCTCAGTTTTCAGCAAGCCAAAAATGTAGAAATCGTCTAGAAGTCAGCTTGCCCAACATGGGGGCTCACAGTGCCAGGACTCCTGGCTCCAGAACCTGGACTGGACTTGCACTTGAACCCCTTACAGGCTTGTATGTTCCATTAGTTAATAGCCCCCTGGACACAGACATCTTGTATAATTCCTGCAATGACCTTCCCAAGCCCTCGCATGTACACTGGTCAAGGAGTGCGCTGAATACTTGCTGAATGAATGAATGGCTACTGAGCAGTGAGTTCTCCCTCATCCTGTCTCACTTTAGAAACTCCTGTGTCTGGGCCTGGTGTTTTGTTCTTGCTGGGGATAAAGAAGCAGGTCTTAGCCTTTGAGAAGCTTTGTGAGAGGTTTTAGGAGAGGAAGGCAAAGAGCAGAGTGCAGTGTAACAGACAGTGATTAGACCAATGCCCAACACCTTGAAGATCCAGTCCACAACCAAAGTCACTTCCAGAAGCAGGAAATGGAGGAGGAAGTCACAGCACAGGTTATAACAGTAGTGGAGAAGAGGTCAGTGGAATGCCATGAATATTAATCCTGTTTTCCCTGTATTAATAGTTAAACATTTCCTTCATTCACAATTGAAGGATTTGAGATTTTTAAAGGGAGAATGACAAGGACAGTGATCATTTCTTAGATTTATCTTCATCAAAGTCCGTGAACTATAAATAAAGTCTATCAAAAGCCTGCAAGGTCCCCTCTCATCTCATGATAAGATAAGGGCTTCATCCATCTTCATCCTCTCCCCCATGGGGAGGAACTAGGGGCCCCAACCTCTGCCCTGCAGGTGATCAGCCCCCTCTCTGGACCCCATGGCTGACCTTTCCCCCCATCCCTACAGCATCTTTGCAGATATGGGGTAGGATGCCCAATCAATTCTGTCTCCAGCTGAGCTTGGGAACCCACAGCCCTGATGACTTCATGAGTTTTCTGCTTGGATTCAGGGACAGTGTCTCCCATGACGTGATCAGTCCCCAAGTGCAGGATCACAGGTGACATAAAAGGACTGGGGCGGAACCAGGCTCGGGGAGCCTCAGGATGACATTCAGGGCAAGGACAGCTGTGTGGACGGCAGGGCCTTGGCTGTCTCTGCGAGACACCAGGACACTGAGCACCAGGGCGGCTCTGTCTCCCAAGGCTGTGCTGCCCTTTGAAGCCATCCCCCAGTGTCCCAGCTCCCAGTGGATGAGGATGCTGCAGATCTGGAGAGAGAAGGGGTATGAGAACATCCACCTGGAGATGCATCGCACCTTCCAGGAGCTGGGGCCCATTTTCAGGTAAAGGCCTTGCTGGCCTCTGGAAGACGCTCCCCGATCATGTGCCCCAGCCCTGGCCAGGCACACAGCACCACCATTGCCCAGGGCAGCCTGTGCTGTGCGTCCTTAGGAAGGCAGGGAGCAGCATGGGGGAGCTGGGCAGTGTCCTCACTGATGGGGACGGGGGCTCTTCAGGAGGACCAAGCACACTATGGTCACAGCTGAGCAGGCAGAAGTCAGAGGCACGAAGGGTGGAGAGGTTTCTGGTGCACAGCAGGAGGGATGTCCTGTGGAAGCCGTGGGTCTATGGGGAGGAAGAGGTCCCACAGGGGGTGACCTGGAGAGGGCCCGGCCAGCCTCTGTGCTTTGCCCTGCAGGCATGACCTGGGGGGACGACAATTCGTGTCTGTGATGCTGCCGGAGGACGTGGAGAGGCTGCAGCAGGTGGAGAGCCGGCACCCCCAGCGTGTGCACCCAGAGCCCTGGGCGGCCTACAGACAGCATCGTGGACAGAAATGTGGCGTGTTCTTGCTGTGAGGGCCGAGTCGGGATGAGGAGGGGGTGGGAACCAAGGCCAGGACTTGGGGAGAAGGCAGAGCAGAGCTGACAGCAAGTGCACCTGCCTTGTGGTCTGTGTGTGTGGGTGGAGCCAGGCAGATCATCACACACCCAGAGCCATCCCATGGGGGACCCTCTGTCCTGTGGCTGTGGGAGTGGGGTGTGCTGGGGAAATGGCCAGGGCCCCTGCAGGTGAGAGAGGGGAACGATGACCACGTGGCTCCTGGAGCATCCTCTCTGTGTAGCAGGCATTTTCTCTGGCAGGTGGACGGCTCTCCCTCCTATAGGTCAGGAGCACCTGAAGGAAGGGAGTCATTGCCCAGGCCAGGCCGTGCCAGGACCAGTGCCCCCCGGAACTGCAGCCCTGCCCCAAGGTGCCCTTGTCTCCTAGACTTAACACAGTCCTCACATCGGTGGGTACGGTCCTGGGCTGAGAGAGATGGGGATGCACAGGTTGATGGGTCTTCTGGCTCAGAACTCACACACTCGGGGGGGGGGGGGTCGCACTGCTGCTGTTTCTCACTTTGCAAAGGGCGGCACACCTGCTCAGGTAGGGAGAGAGATGGGGGACAGATGTGCCTCTGAGGTTTGCATTAGGACAGGCGTAGTTGCTGGTAGAGGGACATCTGACTGTGGACAGCTGCCCACACCACATCAGGAAGAGACTTCTGACTGTGAGATTTAGGGCCATGCCCCTTCCTGTGCCCTTGACTGAGGACTTCAGCCAAGGAGCTAAGATAAAACCTACAGTGCCTTTTAGGCTAAGCACCTTCTGAAAGTGCATCCACCTGTTAAGTCACATACGTGAGAAACTGGAGTCAAACCCTGTTGTGAAACATATAAGCATTCACAATTGGCCATGAGTGTACCTACAGAGGTCTTCCTTCTTGTCACCTGAGATTCTTGTCCTGCACTCATGGCCTTAATTCCTATTCCAGGAGACGTCCCTTCCTGACCTGGCATAGGCAGCTGTCTACAGTCAGATGTCCCTGTGGGGAACCGCAGGCTGGCCACCTGTGGGAACTTCCTCACTTTGCTGTTTGCATGGCCTGTTGTAACAACTTGTGCAGAACAAGTTAAGGAAGTGCTGGCTGCTGAACAAAACAAGTCAAGGAAGTGCTAACCACAGGATGTCCTGAAGACACACAAACAACCCGATGGAGCAAGATGAACTGTCGACCTGAGGCACTATGTGCCCTTCAACTTGATTGGACTGTGCCTGCATGGACTGCATGTGAACTGACTTGCCATTGGCTGGGAGCGTCCTGCTAGGGGAACCTTGGGTATATAAGGGGGATAGTATTAGGTAGGGGAGGAGGGCTTGGCGTCTTTTCTTTGGCCTTGCATCTGGATGAAAAAAGTTCCACTAGAACCGAGGAAGCAGCGATTGTGTCTTTACTACGCTGGACGCTCGCGGGCGAGCGTCCGGCAGTCCCGGTCAGGTCAGCCTGCAGAAGTTCCAGAGTCACGCTCTGCAGAGCAGCCTAGTGGGCCTGCTCTCCCTCGGCATTCAATCCAGATTTCTCACTTTCTCCTGCCATTTGGAGCATAGCTCTGCTAGAAATAGAATTCTTGATGGGTGGTTTGTCTTGTTTTGTTTTAAGCACTTTGAGTGTATCAGCACACTTCATTCTGGCTCCAAGAAGTTCTCCAGGAGAAATGTTCTGATTAATATGTTAGAGATTTAGTGAAGAACTGATTCTTCGCTGACTGGTAGGCCGATCATGTACACACCTGCCTTAAGAAATGAAGACCCACAGTGAAGCCAACTGATAGGAGGCTGCTAGTAGTCTGACAACACTGGGTTCTAGTTATCTTTGATTTACAGGTAGAATAACATGTTAAAATAATAAAAGGCACAGTCCAGCCAGCTTGTCCACCTGTGACAGTGCTTAGGACCATTATCAACCTGAGCACTGCGCACTGCAAAAGGTTCCATGCACAGCAGAGTTCTCTGCACCAGCATCACCTGAGCCCGTGTGTAACACGTGGCCCTACAGTCGACTACGGCTACGGGCTCACCGGGCCAGAAGAGCTCCTCGGTGGCTTTATAATCTGGACAACCACAGTGGTCTATGCCGACATCAACCAGAAAGTCATTCTGCCGTGCACAACTCTAAGCTTGGATGTTTCGCACACACACTGGGACTCTCTGGAGAAGCCTGTCTGATGCATCCACCACAGACAACCCCACCTTCACAGACGGAGACCTACAGGGGCTGCCAAGGCCTGGGGAGGGTGAACGGGCAGTCACTGTGTATTTGCTGCAGGGTTCTTCTGGGATCTGCACTGTTCTGGAATTAGACAGTGGTGATGGTTACGCATCCCTGTGGATGTCACCTCAATAATACACTCTAATATGATTACAATGGTGAACTTAAGATGTGTGAATTCTTCCCTGTTACTTTCACAAACAGGTTAACTGACTTACGAAGGAAGGAAGAGGAGGAGGTGAGCCCAGGGGGTCTGGAATTTTCTGTTCCCTCCACTTCATTCTCCTGGTACTGACCAGAGATGCGATGAGAGGGGCAGCAGCCCCAACTCTCCTTGCATTCAGGTCAGGTTGCAGATGGCTTCAGGGCCACCTCCAACCTCCCAAGGGGCCATTTCAGTGTACTTCAGTACATTCATGGTGTTGTGCATCCTCACCACTGTCTATCTGCAGAACAGTGTGGACCTCCAAAACAGACCCTCACCAGTCTCACAGGCTAACGTCTGGGGAAAGTCTATGGCCCATGTGAACTCAGGGGCCATGTGGAGACAACTCTGTGCCGGCACAGCCATCTGGCCCCTACAAGGGTGCAACATGCTGCGGCCCCTTCCATCTGGCCCTGGGGACCAGGGTCTCTCCCTGACCCAACAACTGGAACCCATGGCCAGCACTGCAGGCGGGCTCGAGCCTACAGTCTGCACATGGCTGAGGCTGCTCTTCCAGCCAACAGGCAGACTTGCCCCTGGACATTTTCCCTGTGGACTACAACAATCTCTGTAAGCGGAAAAGCAAGAGGTTTTCACACAGCGAATCTTTAGGCCACCGTGTGTGAAGGAGAAAAAGCACTTTAAACACTCAAACTCCAAGGCAGTTCCTCGGTAGGTGGCACAGTACAGGAGACAAGAGCAGACATGGGCTGGGGCCAGATCCTGAGCATGTGCAAGCAAACTACGTTCATGACCATTTGTGTAAATAATTACTTTTAATTTCTCTCTTGAAATAAAGCAGACATGAGCCATCTGGGCCCAGCAGATCAGTCTCTGGCTCATAAGAGGGAAACGGAGAGTAAAATCGCTATGAGGGACAGGCAAGAAGGGTCGACCATCCCAGGAGAGGTTCTCGGGTCAGTAGATTGCTGACTACGATGGAGACCAGGCTCAGGAAGAGCTGCGAGGCCCCCAGTCGGACTGCACTCTCTGGGAGCGGCTCCTCAATGGGGGTTTCAGGTTCCATGTCCCGCTCCAGGTTCGTGGGGCCTCCTTCATTGCAATTAATGCCAGAACAGCATCGAAGAAAATAGAAACTATTTGTTATAAGTTTAAATCTTGGTGCTTCAGGAGGCTGTAAAGCTGTGTATACAAACGAGCAATTGTACGTACAGTTCTTGTAAATGAGCATTTCACGAGGATTCAAACCTGCAAAAGGTAACAGTGAAAATCACTCGTCTCACATTGTCTGTGCTGTCACAGCACACAGACCCTCATTCAACCGCAGTAGCTCATGCATGCATTCTACATTGCGAAACCTTACAAGATTGTCTGGAATCCTGATGAGAGAATAAATGTCCCAGTTCCCAGAGGCTCTGACGACTCCAAGAATGCCTTCTTCTGGAGCTGCTTCCTGCCTACCCTGTCATCTCTGTAACTACCTCAGCCCCTCCTACAATGGTGTATGGTTGCTTCTTCTGGAACTGCACAAACCAAATGTGCTGTCAGTTTGTGTCAGGGTAATTGGAGAGCTCCAGAAAGTCAATGGAGATCAGAAATCATGCTTTCCTCCTGTCCCAGAGACCATGCTGACATTACATTAACAGGACCTAATGTTGGCTTTCTGCAGTTGGCAAGACTCCTATAGAATAAGGGCCTTCCCAGGCCCTTCTTCCTGGTGTTCCTACCTCCTGGGCCAATACACAAATTCTCCTAAGCCCTTGCTGCAACCCTCCTCCCCAGCATGTACTCAAGGGACCATTTCAATGAGGGTTCCTCAACAAACATGATTACCTTCTTCCTGGCTTGCCTAATGACCTCAGCCAACTAATGTTACCTGACAACAGCTCCAACTGAGACTTTCCTTGAGAAACAATACTTCTCTGTGTAGCCTACACAGTGTGGAATACAAATGCTTGATTCCAAAACCTACCCTAAGTGATGTACTCCAGTAGTTGTGGGCCTTGCCTCCTGGACAGCACTGAATGGAACTAAGCAGCAGTCCCCCACTTCCCTTCCTTTTTCATGGGATTTTTTGGCAGTTCCTTCAGCTCAGAGCACACGGCCCTGTGGTCTGCATGTGGAACCAGGCTCAGAGCATGTCAGCCATTGAACTCCTAGTTCTGTCTCTCCACTCACACCATTCTCAACTACAAGGCCAAGGAAAAGAAGCATCTGCACCCAAATGAAGCCTTCTGAACTTTCATAGAACTGAGTGCCATGAAAACACTAGGCATGGGTTTCTAGATTTTGAAACTTTTCATTCCACTTTTCCACAAACCCTTTGGAGTGTCCTCCCATATTAGCCGCCTGGTTGTGAACTTTATACAGATAAAATCACACATGAGTTTTTGTGGATGGCTTCTTTTCTCTACTTTGTGTTTCTGAAATCCCTAAGGTCTCCTGTTGTGGGGAGCAACTCGGACTATACTGTTACTGGAATTAAGACTTATTCTATGCATCTGCTCTCCCACAATATGGCGCTGGGAGAGAAGAAAACAGCTTCTACACAGCTGCCTCCAGTTCAGCCAATAAGCTGTAGGACTTGCTCCTGATTGGAGGAGAGCAGCGTACTCGGCGTGTGGGCAGCCGAGTTAGGATTGGCGGAGGAGGACTATAAAGGAGGAGAGAGACGGCATGCACCAGGAACATCTAAGGGGAACATCTAAGGGGAACACCTGTGCAGCCCCCGAGAGAGCCGGCCGGCGGTGTGCCGCTCCCCTGCGGAAGTGGGGAATGTGGCCAGGGGGAACTGCCCTTCCACGGAGGTGGAAGGGACAGTGGCCAACCCGGGAAGAACCAGCAGCAAACCCGGGGAGGGCCGAGCAGACAAAAGAACAGCGCAGGGTCCTGTGTCGTTCCCCCACGAAGAGGGGGAGCGACGTAATGGTGCCGTGACTCGGATATGAAGCCTAGGCAGGGCTTGGTGTCGTTCCTCCACGAAGAGGGGGAGCGACATCCTGTTGTACATTGTTCATCCTCACAACTGTAAATGATTCCTTTGGTGAACATACCAAAACTGATTGCTGACTGGCATTTAGATTGTTTCTGGAATTTAGATTGCTGCAGGTTTCTGAGCCTGTCTACAGATTCCAGAGGATCACACACACTTCAGAACATTAACACCGGTTTAATGGGTTTGGGGTACACTGTCACCCCTTCCAGGGTTTTCAGTTTGTGGGTTTCAGTTGCATTTCCATTACAAAGAATTACCCTGAACATTAGGTCCTTCCCACGTCCCACCTCCCACATCAGATATCATTCACTGCAAATTCTCCTTTAACAATTTGTTCATATTTCTTTTTGATAAACTGAAAAAATTTATTTTCATTTTATATGAAAGACAGAGAGATGTGTACAGAGAGACAGATAGGTGGACAGAGTTAATCCATGCCCTATTTCACGCCCCAAAGACCCTGAACAGCCAGACCTGGGCCAGCAGCCAGATCAATGCCAGGAACCAGGAACTCAATTCAAGTCTTCATATGGGTGCCAGGGGCACCTTACTTGGGCCATCACTGGCTCCTTCCCAGGGTGCACATTAGCAGGAAGCTGGGCAAGAAGCAGTGCAGTCAGAATTCAAATCGAGTCTACTGATATGCAATGTGGTATCCCAGATGGCAACTTAACAGGTGCTCCAAACTCCTGCCTCATTTGTTCAGATGCATCTGCTTTCTTTCTGAAGGGTGTATAAGGAAAAGTTCACTAAATGTTTTAAATATGAATCCAGAAAATGTATATTTTAATGCATCCCCCTCATCTGCAGTTTGTACTATTTTATCAGTATCTTCTTAGAAGTTGTGAAACTGGATGTAATCCAATTAATCAATTTTTTTCTTAAGTGACTATCTCTATTTTGACAAGGTTTTTTTTTTTTAACTTCTATTTAATGAATATAAATTTCCAAAGTACAGCTTATGGATTACAATGGATTCTCCCCCCATAACGTCCCTCCCACCCGCAACCCTCCCCTCTCCCACTCCCTCTCCCCTGCCATTCACATCAAGATTCATTTTCGATTCTCTTTATATACAGAAGATCAGTTTAGCATACATTAAGTAAAGATTTCAACAGTTTGCTCCCACACAGAAACATAAAGTGAAAAATAATAGATGATTTTTTAAATGATGATGAAATCAGATCAGACCTATTGTCATGTTTAATCCCAGTGAGAGTCAAGTTGGGAATTGATAATTTCTTTTTTTTTTACAGAAGATCAGTTTAGTATACATTAAGTAAAGCTTTCAACAGTTTGCACCCACATAGAAACACAAGGTGAAATATACTGTTTGAGTACTCGTTATAGCATTAAGTCTCAATGTACAGCACATTAAGGACAGAGATCCTAATGAGGAGTAAGTGCACAGTGACTCCTGTTGTTGACTTTACCAATTGACACTCTTGTTTATGGCCTCAGTAATCTCCCCATGCTCCAGTCATGAGTTTCCAAGGCTATGGAAGCTCCTTGAGTTCTCCGACTCTTATCTTGTTTAGACAAGGTCATAGTCAAAGTGGAGGTTCTTTCCTCCCTTCAGAGAAAGGTACCTCCTTATTTGAAGACCTGTTCTTTCCACTGGGATCTCACTCGCAGAGATCTTTCATTTAGGTGTTTGTTTGTTTGTTTGTTTGTTTTTTTGCCGGAGTGTCTTGGCTTTCCATGCCTGAAATACTCTCATGGGCTTTTCAGCCAGATCCGAATGCCTTTAGGGCTGATTCTGAGGCCAGAGTGCTGTTTAGGACATCCGCCATTCTATGAGTCTGCTGAGTATCTCGCTTCCCATGTTGGATCGCTCTCCCCTTTATTTATTCTATCGGTTAGTATTAGCAGGTACTAGACTTGTTTATGTGCTCCCTTTGACTCTTAGTCCTTTCATTATGATCAATTGTGAACAGAAATTGATCACTGGGACTAGTGAGATGGCATTGGTACATGCCACCTTGATGGGATTGAATTGGAATCCCCTGGTATGTTTCTAACTCTACCATTTGGGGCAAGTCAGCCTGAGCATGTCCCAAATTGTACATCTCCTCCCTCTCTTATTCCCACTCTTAAATTTAACAGGGATCACATTTCAGTTAAATTTCAACACTTAAGAATAACTGTGTATTAATTACAGAATTAAACCAGTCATATTAAGTAGAGCAGACAAAAAAACTACTAAGAGGGATAATGTATTAAGTTGTTCATTAACAGTCAGGACTATGCTGATCAAGTCACCGTTTCCCATAGTGTCCGTTTCACTTCAGGAGGTTTCCTTTTTGGTGTTCAGTCAGTTGTCACCGATCAGGGAGAACATATGGTATTTGTCCCTTTGGGACTGGCTTATTTCACTCAGCATGATGTGTTCCAGATTCCTCCATTTTGTTGCAAATGACTGGATTTCGTTGTTTTTGACTGCGGTATAGTATTCTAAAGAGTACATATCCCATAATTTCTTTATCCAGTCTACCGTTGATGGGCATTTAGGTTGGTTCCAGGTCTTGGCTATTGTGAATTGTGCTGCAATAAACATTAGGGTGCAGACCGCTTTTTTGTTTGCCAATTTAAATTCCTTTGGGTAAATCCCAAGGAGTGGGATGTATTTTGACAAGGATTTTAACAGTCTTAATTATCCAGAAGGCACAGATATTCTTTGGTTTTTTTTTTCCCTACACTGACATCTAAAAGCACCTGAAATATTTCCTTCTGTGGAGGGCAAATATTGGGTATAAACATCTGATATCTCCACGACAACTTAGTGCAAACAGCAGCTTTCCCCAGTGCCCTGTGGGGACAGTGTGGTCCAGTGGGTGAACAGGTGTGATCTTTTCTTGAATTTTCCTTCCTCTTGTAGTGTCCTGTTTTTTACTCTTGAAACCTACACCATGGTCTTCATTACTAAAATTATTTTAAGTATCCTTCAGAGTTCACAGCATTAAGTCCTCTAGCATTTTAGTTCCTCCCGAAGCTTGGCTGGTGCTTCCTAGCCCTTTGTATTTCCACAAAATTTGGAATCAGCTTGTCAACACCCATACATGTACATATGCCCCTCCCCCCAACACACAGGAGTCGTCTAAAAATCTGATTGGCATTTTACAATTCACAGATTAATTTGAGAAGAGAAGAGAAATGCCTTTACCATTTTTGGGGTATTGATCAGCTCTGCAAAGGCAGTTCCTGATGAAGAAAAGATGCTTATTCTGCCTCATGGTTTTAGAGATTCACAGCC